TGTATTTTAATGCAATGAAAGTCATACATAAACTCTTGCAGGCCTGCCTGCTCCAACCTCCAGAAAGAGTCCTTGGCGACTGGTTGGGTCGAGAGCTCAGTTGAATATCAATTGGCTGTTGATACAAGTTGTTGATGCCTTGGCTTGCAATGTTTTACAACCATGACTTGTCAAGTCCACATGTTAAATTTAGTAGTATTCATGAATTTCATTGTGGATTGCTTCCGTAGCTCACATGACATCTTGGGTTTGACGCTTGCTGCAAGAAATGCGCGCACACCTTTTCACCTCTCTCGCATCGCACGCTACAGCTATGGTTTGGAATGTCCCGGCATCAATCCCTGGACATGCATCCACTGCAAGTGACATTCATCGCAGGTATGGTTGCGATGCTTGTAGTAGGTACGGCCGATGCGGGCCATCCTCTCTATCCGCGTGCACCGGGCCCCACAATCGCATGGCACCATGCAGCGGAACGATGGTGTTCCTGGCTGCGCTCCTGGCAGCGGCCCTGTGAATGACACCGGAGCTGGAGGTGGTTGAGGAAGTCCTGCATCGCTGATCGCCTGTCGCGCCTTCTCCTCGTGAAGTTGCGCTTGCGTTTTCTGGGCCCGCTTTGCTGCCTCCACCAGCTTGTTGATCTTCGCCTGCTCAGCCTCACTCTGCGTAGATGCCGAACACACGAAACCCGATGCCGATGCCACCGCTTCTGGCTCCTGCCCTTGTTGTTCTTGCTGATGATCCGGCTCTTCCTTCTCTGCCAGCTCTGCCTGTGGCTGTGGCTCTGCCAATGGCTCTGTGTCATCCTCCTTCTCTGACTTCACCTCCATCGCAGGCCCTGCCACTGACGTCTCTGGTTCAGCTGAGGCTGAATCTGGTCCAGCTGAGGCTGGCTCTGGTGCAGCTGAGGCTGGCTGTGGTCCAGCTGAGGCTGTCAGCTCTGCCGCCCATTCTTCACATTCTTTCTGCAGCGCCTGCGCAGGCTGTTCGGAAATCTCCGCACAGGTCTCGCAAACCCGTTTGTATCTGCGATTCGCCTCCTGAACTTCTTGTTCAGCCTTGTCACAGATCCTGCCCTGCTGATCGACCTGATCCTGGGCCATCTGAAGAAGTTGCTGGGCCTCTCCATACTTCTGGCAGAGTTCATCGTATTCGCGCTTGGCCACCCGAAGGCGTTCCTTCGCCTTGCCCTTCCCTTCTTGCCAGCGGACCAGCTGCGCTTTGAGCTCTTCAGATGTGAGCATGGCTACCAGGTTGATGACACACACAAAGCAAATTGACATGTGATGATTGAATATTGACATCAAACATAATAAGGCATAGTGTCATGTCTTCATCGAGCCAAATTGACAAGACAGAAGGTAGTTGTTTGCTGAACATGCGCAAAGACTCAACCAAGTTTTTGTCAAATCTAGAATCTATAAGACGTCCTTCTCAATTACTTGCCGTTGCACATAGTGGCCAATCCATGCCAAATGCAAGCTGTGACCTTGCAACTCAACAGAGCGCTGGCTGGTTGGTTGAGGTTCTGACCGGTGTCTCTTCGTGATCCATGGAGGTTGGGGCCTGAGTTGTCGCAACAGCAAGCCCCACAACTTTCACAAGCTCGATTGAACCGGACGACAACCACATGCTGAAATTTGTCTTTGGAACATTTTGGAACAGTGAATTGATCAAGGGGCCCAGCTTGTGATGAACGTTGCCGCCCAAAAGCTGCTTAAGCTGTTTGAGCAACCACCCAAAACAAGAAGCAAAGATTGTCAAGCAACATGCAACTGTTTTTCCAACTCTGTCAATGACAAAACAGCTTGTTCGGTGTATAAGCAAGCCAGGAGTACCAGTGTGCACTACCCCAATGCCACCATTCAAATGGATACCAAAGCCAAAAGCTCTACACAACACAATCAGCACCAAGTGATCAACTGCTCGGTACAGCTAAACATGCCAAGGGGGTGTCACTGTCAACATAGAGTGTGAACGTTTTCCGCTCTGAGGCTGCCACCAAGCACGCTGTTCTTTGCAAACAGGAGGCATGGCTGACAAACTGTTGAATTGTTGAACAAATTTGAGTGCACATAGCGCTACGCAAGACAAATTAGGACATGCTGTCATGTTGCTAGCTCTAGGCTTCCACCATTGCACGGCTAAGTGCATGGGCTGCAAAGTTTGCACAAGCAGGCATCACTATGTTGCCTAAAGCTGTCAGGCGTTCGCGATCATCCTCATCCAGCTCATGCTGCAACCACCGCTCAGGTGATATTGGGATCCCCCACGGCTTGGTTGGATACTGGCGCAGGTCTTGCTGTGTCATCAATCTGCTTGTGTCCTGCCAAGGGGATGCGTACAGACAACAAAGCATTGCAATCAGATTGAGTACCATGCCTGAGCAAACACAAAGCCTGGCTTGCAAGCCAAAATGAACACCCTCTTGCGCCACACCTCAACATGTCATGGTAAGGACAGCCTGGCGCTCAAACAATTATATATCAAGATAGTTTCTGGGTTTGTGGCTGGCGCGCCAACGCAGTGCCCGGTCACGCTGATCCATCTGACATGGAAACCTCTGCGAATGAGCTCCTGACAAACATGCCAAACTACTTTTTGTGCTAGACCCCCTTCAAAATACATGAAAGGCACATGGCTTCCCAGCAGTCTCCCGTAGAATGTGTTCCCAGAAGTCTTCCATGTCTTTTGAGAGGAGGTGATGCACATTCTCCAACCAAACCCAAAGCCTGAAGTGACTTAAGGAGAAATGAACAAGTTCCAACCAAGGACAAGTCATCGAATGAACACACATTACAAACTGTTGTGAACAAGGCCAGAAAAGATCTTCCATGTATGCAAGGCACGGGTTGTCCAAACAGTCCAACATCTTCCAAATGTATGTCACAAGACCAGACTGATGGTCAAGAAGCCCGGCTTTGGATCCTGCTTTGCAAATGCCCTTAGTTTGAAATTCACGACAAGTTCAACCTGCATGCTTCCACAGTCTAAGTGTAGCAGTAACAACGAAACAACAACATGAAACTCATGCATATTGCTAAGGATCTTGACATGGAAACCCTGCGCAGATCCCAGTGCAGTCCCTTCTCATGGTCGTTGTGGGCATGAATGTTGTTACATCTTCATACAATGGGGCAGCGTGGGCAACCCCCTGGTCCATGTTCTTCTGGATGATGCGTCGACAAATGGGCTTGAACTCAACCTCAAAGTGTGACGTGTGACATCCCTCAGCCAACATCAACGCTAAGGCATAGACATAGGCCTGCGGAACCACAAACCTGAGCGTTGTCAACGAGCACCATTGACTGCAGACTGAACACGTGCACCACGTTGCAACAAAGGCGGGTTTCAGTGCCCAACCCAGCCAGACCGAGCTCCAATCCGAGAACGCCGGTAAAGAGGCTCAGGCATTTGTGCTGTGCAACCTCACATGCACATGCAGGTGAAACAAGCACATGTTGACCTTGCATCAGGTGACTTCAAAAATACTGCAAACATGTTTATTGTGCCTGTCATGAAGTTTAGTGACCGGCTCACCGACCCAAGGGCACAAACGTGCAACGTCTTCCTTTTTGACCAAGTCTGTAGGCGAGCTCCAATTCTCTGGCACCCCTGCCCAATATTCCCATATCCGACAAGTGGAACAAATTGACACTGGGATTGATAATTTTAACAAACATGCCTGACAGGTGCTCTGCAAAAGGCAATGACAAGTACTTGCCCTTCTTTTGGTTGTGTTGTTTGCACGCCGCGGAGTACTGTTTGCTGTGGAACAGCTGAGTTGCCAGGTCCTGCACCAAGGTTTCAGGTCTATAAGAGTGACAACTAAGTTGGAGGCGGTCTTCATTGTGTCCTGCTTGCCACGCTGAGACAGGTAGCGGCTGTTCGCTGTCCATGTTGCTGAGAAACAGCCTCAACCAACCATGCAATGAACCACCAGTCTACCAAGCCAGGCAACCAAGCACTTGGGCACCAACGCAAGCAACCCAGTGAATCGAGCTTCATGTTCTTTTGCACCAGCTTGACGCCCACATCTTCTTCCTTCACCTTCTTAGTTGCAACCTGGGATGACTCTGCCAACTGCATGTTCATGTGTGGTGTTGAGAACTCAAACGTGCAAAAGTGTTTGCGGCTCATGCTGTGTTGTGCTGTGGCAACAAAACATGCAAGCGTTGTCAAGATACAAGCTCCAGCGCAAGCTTGGTCCGAGGGCTTTGCGGAAAGCAACATGGCCTCCAAACCTTCATGCCGGCGGGGCCATCGCAGAAGCCGTGCTGAGGTGCCTTGCCGAGCTTCATCTCCCCACCATCCATGTCATCACACCTCAAACAAAACCCGGTAACCACAAACAACAACAACAACAACAACAAGCAAGTAAAGCATGCAAATCATCACATCCACAACACCAACTGTTTCATCCATAAGCCGCCCACTCACTCAAAGTGTCCACGGAATCCAGGGGCATGATGGCTCAACAACTCGATCAACAAAACGGCACTGCAGCGAGCGTTTTTGGTGTTCATGTCAAGATGGCCATGTTGTGAGCCAACACATGACCTCAAACCTTACAACTACCTTGTACCCTGGTTACATTTTTGTACCCCGGTTAGGTGGCAAATGTTTTAAAGGTGTATGACCCAAAAGGTGTATAACTCATGCTAGTTAGGAAATTGGGTCAAACTACCTTTTTTGGTCGACACCGCATCATCGATCATCGACACCGGGTGCCTTCCCCACAAATGTCCGGTGATGTGGGTCGCATCATCTTGGTCGATGGATCGTTGACTTTCCCACATTCCCCCAAAGTCAGGTGACACTTGGATTTGCTTAAAGAATCTGGAACAAGTAGAACATATATGAACATGTAACATAGTCCACAGGAGGGGCCTACTAAGGGCCTACTACAAACCAGGAACGTCCACCAAACATCCATTGTCCCAACTGCCCGATGTCCTGGTCGGGCAGGGCGGCCGGCACTTGACCCAGGCGGCCCCGGCTTGACCCAGGCGGTCTCCTTGCGCCGGGCCTCGACTGGTGGCACCCAACAGGACGTCACCTGAGACCAGCTCCGGGCACGCGCGAGTCTCGAGGTCATGGGGTCGGGATCCCTGGGTTATCAAGCTGGTGAGGTATGGTGGGACTTGTTTGCAGGAATGAACCTGTTCGAGGATCCAGGCTGCGCAGATTCTTTTTCTATTGGGCCTTCTACCCTGGATCTGAGGATCTACTTCGGCATGTTGCTGATATCCGGATGGATCTCGATGTCTACCGGTCTACCGCACCTCTCCAAAGATCCAAGTCCACGAGCCGATCACCGCAGCTCCACGAGCCTCTCCGAACTGTGAGAACATGCTCTTGAGGGACATCCGACCTGAAAACGATGGTGAGACCGTGGCGTGCACGTTTGGTGCACATATAGTGCGCATGAAGGTGCGATCATCTACCATCCGAGGTCGGTGATCACACAGAAGTATTTTTACTATAGTATGAATATCATATATATGCTTATACGAGTATGATATGTGCATTGTTTTAAATTAGGCTAAGCTGTATAAATGTGTGTGTTAGCGTGTTAGCGTGCATATATGTCGACTATCTTGTGACCACCCGCGAATGTACAAAGCTTCAGTCCACAGTCTCGGACCCGGTCGGCCCGGTCGTTGGCCCGGTTTTTGAAGTCTTTTTGCCCTTAGTAGCGATGCACTTGTTACTATAGTTATGTAAGTAGCTTCTAGCTACAGCTACTAATAGTATTCGGGCAAACTTTTTTGGTTTGGCCCCCCTTTGCAGAACCCACGCATCGCAAACAAGTCCTGAGTGGCACATGCTGTCCAAGAATATCAGAACTCAGGTTGACCAAATGGTCTGGTTGACCATGGTGGTCTGGTTGACCACATAGCTTGGTGGACGGACACCGACCGGGCCCAGCCGAAACATGCAATGCTCGGCACAACAGTTCGGACCTTCTGGGGCTTTGCCAACCCGGGCCCTCACCGCCCTGGCGGAGGTTAAGGCCATGCGCTCAGAGCGCGACTCGTGACTTTCTCGGTGTCCCGAACTGGAGAACTCGGTGATGCCCGCGGTCAGGTTCAGCGCCAGCCGCGCCATGGTCGAACGGCCAAGTCACCGGTGCCGTTGTCACCGGTGCGCGGGCTGGGCGGGGCGATCTGGTGGTCTGTGCAGAGTTCACCTCCTGAGGTTTCTTACGACTGCGCAAGTAGGGTCGTTGGACACTTGCTTGGTGAAAAAGTGGACATCTTTGATGGAGAAGTCATCTGGGCGAAATTGCTTTGTTTGGAGTTTGGAGTCTACAGTTTGCCTATCGAGTTTGGAGGGACTGGAGGGACTTTTCATCGGCCAAAACGAAGAATAGTGCGGTCCCATCGGTGAATGTGCAAAAACAGCCATAGCCTTGATGGGATGACGGACGCATGGATTCCAACGAACCTTTGAACAACAAGTTTACACCGTCTGATTGAACATGATTCAACAACTATGGAGACATTCAGCGTGAAGCTCTGATTCATCCATGGCAGCCCGTTCAATTGGAACCATCATCTCTGAGAGCCACGCAAACAAGGCGGGATTTGTTGCAAGACGTCTCAGCCAAGATTCCAACTAAAACGGTCATTAGGAGGGTTATCTATGGGGGTCAGCGTAAAGAATCTTCACTTTGCTAAATGGGCGATTAGTGCAAAAAACCTTCTGAGTTACTCAGCAATCACGTTCATCACCAACAGGATTGTGAAATCGAAACATTCTGGGACAAACATCCAATCTCTTATCCAACGCTCTCTGCCAGCTCTGCTTCAATGAGTCCACTTCGTTCTCTGGGCTTGGAAAAGGGCAACAATGACAACTAGGGCAGTCGACAAAAGCGAAAATGGGCTGTGACTGGCTGGTTGTAAAAGCATGGCTTGTTGCTGGTGGTGGTTTGATTGTCCTTCCCAGTTGAAGGGCACTGATCAGACCTGTTTGGAGGAGAATGAAGAGCACTGAAAAGGAGAGGGATCCAAAAAAAGCGCCCAGCAAATTCCTTGCCCAGCTCGGTTCTCTTTTGGGCCATCTTCAAATTGTGGCACACAGGAGCCCTTAAAGCGACTGGCGACACCATGAGCATCTTGACCTTGGAATGATCAGTTATTGCCTACAAATGCCACGTGGATGGTGGGACCAAACGCTACAAACGCCCCGTCCAAAGTCGATGGGTTGAGCTACCAGGGGCTCAAATAGTCTGAGCCTTAGGAATTCCAGGAAGCATGGATAACAGTGGATTCTTGATGGTCTCTCCTGGTCTCCAAGTTGCTGTTCTTGCGGCTCACTTTGAAGAAATCGTTCCAAGACCAAGATCCACTTTTGGTGCCTCTCAGTATCTTGCGGCTCCTGGCCATCGGTGAAGGACACACAAACGTATACAAAGCACACAAACAATAGAAGTTACATTACAATTCTGAAGTTCTTGATTTACAAAAGCATCGTTTGTGTGCTCTAGTCAAGCTTCAATGCCTAAGTACCCCATTTGCTATGGTGGTTCTGAGCAAAACAGTTCCCCTTCTAGGTCTTGAAGCACGCCTCCAGTTGGGAACACGAGATGCATGTCCTTTTTCACACAGGTGCACAAGTTGGTGAGTGTGAATGAGGAACTTTGGGCATACCTGGCTAGAGTGACAGTGACCTAGGAACGCCAACCTAACCCATCTCTGGGTAAATCCTGCCTGTTTTCCACGTCCTGTCAAACTGCTAAAGGCAAAAAAAACATGCATTTCTTCCCCTATACTCCCACGACTGCTTTTCGTGGCTGGCAAGTGACCGTGGCTCCAAAGTATAGAACCCATGTCAGTTTTACTCTTACAAATTCCTTAATTATCGGTATGTTTGAGCCATGGCGCTCGGAAAACAGCAATTCTGTGTGAACTCAACCACACAAACTGCTCAAAATCGCACAGACTTTGCAATGAATAATTAATAAACATGGCCTGAATGGTAAAGTGATTGCTTGTCTGAAAAGATGGCCATGTATGGCCCCGTCCATCCTCTCCAGAACACATACCAACGCCCAACGCCCTTCGCACCTGGCAGTCGGCCCGTGCTCTCGGTGTACCGTACCACACTGTCCCACCTTGGCGTTGGCGGGTATGGAGGATCAAAAGGGACATCCAGCCACAGAAGTGTAACGGAGCGAATGTTGGAGTTTCCTCAGTTTCCTTGCTTGGAAACATGACACCCCTCCTCTGGAAGGCTTTTGGGATTCTTCCTGAACATGTCCCGGGACGGCCTCGGAGTGTCTTGAAAGGTGGGAGGCAAAAATAGGGAATGCAATGCTGCGAGCATATGAGCTGCAAACAAAATGACTTATGTAGCCAAAGGTCACCATATTGTTTTGAGAGAAATAGATGTTCTGTACTATGTTCTGTTCAATGGATGCCCTGAAGGAGCCTTGTTGCGGGCCCTATTCCCACCCTGATGGCAATTGCTCAAGGGCAAGGCCAAGTGCAATGAAGTCGAAAACCATTCACTGCGACAACTGACCTTGACCCGAATCTAGTCTTCCATGGACATTCCCCTGGTCTTTCACCATATTGGTGCTGGCTTTATACTCTCTCCACCCACGAAGCCAGCTCGATCGAATCCAGTTTCGGCACAAGCATTTCGGATGAGATTGGTCTGACCGACAAGGAACTCTCTGCTTTGGTGTTTTGGTTGGGCCACATCCAGCCAAATCCGCTTCTATGTCAATCCCATTTTTGAAGCTGCTCATGTCACAAGCTAGTCTCACAAAAAGGCATCAAGCCACGAATGATGTATAGGTTTCCAGTCTTTGCACTTGCAGTTCAGTCCAGCGATGTCCAGCGAGATCTTTGATACCTACTTGACCATCACCACCTGGTTGTTGGTGCTTGTTCAATGGGTCTGCTATGGTCTACCGTTGACAAGCTCGTCATCCACACCTGTTCCACTTCTCATGAACTGTTGTAGTCGTGGGGGATGTCCCATCCATGCGGATCTTTTTGAGAGGCTCAGAGCCCTATACTGTTCACCCAAACGGAATCTTCACCTCTATAACCAAAGTATAACTATATATATATATATGTTGCCACTGTTTCTGTTTGCTCTTCTCAGGAGAACGTCCGCCCC